ACTAAGAGGAAAGTTCCATTACCGACGCTAACTAAACAATCACAATTGCCATAATATATTTTTCGGGAATAAGGAGATGGCACCTTAAATCTAACAGACGAAAAACATTCTGCATTAGTGATTGCGGGACAATGTGACGCCCATATTTCTCCTGCCCGGGCTGGAGAACAGGGGCGAAAATATCGACATAAACGCACATGGAATGTAGATGTAAAATTGTATATATGTAAATATTGTAAATAAAAGTTATTCATTCATTCATTCATTCATTGACAGAATTACCAAAATAGAGAAAGTAACCTTCCACCAAACGTCTTGGCATCATTAATGGAGCGTAAAGACTTAATCATTGTAACGTGGAATGCCAATGAGCTATTTGACCATTGAGAATAGCTACATGGATTCTTAACAGAACAAAATATAGATATCTGTCTAATATCAGAAATATATTTAATAAAACAAAGCTATATAATTTAAAGGATATAAAGTCTATAGTACTATACATCCGTTGGATAACGAACGCTAGAGGTAGAATCCATGTAATAATAAAAGAAAATAATATTATTATTTATATCTAAAAATCAGTAACTAATATAGTCTAAGGTCAACCTTCACCCATCTGTTTAATGGATTAAAATGTTTTCTCAAATAAAATATGTTTATAAATATACTGTAAATGGGTTGCCTAAGAAATTAAGGCCATTACTATTTATTTTCTTGAAGTAAAATAAAAATGACACCCTAAAGTAAAGTATTCCCCAGATGCTTTGACTTTGGTAAACTTTAATCAGCTAACTGCAGGATGGATTAAAGTTTAAGTTTAAAATTTGATGTTTTTCTCTTCATCCATTTGAATTATCTTCAAAATACGAAATTTCCCTTTTTCCTCAAATATCTTGAATTAGGTCTATTTTAGGAAAATCATGGAATGGAACAAAATTAAAGAGAATTAGAACACAAAAACCTTTTATTATGATTCCTATACATTCCTTAGCTGTTTACAGAAAAGAAAGTAAAAAATTTATTGCAGTGTCAACTAGCTCTATACCAACAGTACCGAAGGTAATATCAAGCGGGACTCTAAGAAGAGCACTGAAAATGCTTAACCTTCCAGTACTGGCGTGAATTTTTTGTGATCCGGCGATGGCGGCGGACTGTGAGTCCGCATAATAAATTAGAGCCAATTATAAAACAGTTTGCAATTATTTTTGTTTATTTATTTAAAAGCATCAAAAATAATTAAACAACATTAATTTTACAACAAAAAAAACATAAAGGAACATGTATTTTTGGCATTATTAAAAATACATCAGAAAAGTTTAACATTCCTGAAACTAGCTACTAAGAACATAAAATCAACGTAATATAAACAAAAAAAAAATATAAACTTACTATAAAACTATTTACTGTGACATTCCAAACATATAGGTGTCAAATGTTCCACACACATGAACTTTCCACATATATTAATAGTGTGGTCAAAAATGGGATTGGCAACTGGCGGCGGACTCTCACTCCGCAATCTTTTATAACATAAGAACAAAAATACACTCACGCTTCAAACTTTGAGATACTACTACTAATTTAATGTCTAAAGAATACAGAAATACACCGATTTGAGAAAGGGTAGGTTACGCGGCAAACGGCAAATAATTTCATCCAGATACTTTAAGAGCTCTACGAAGATGATTTTAATAAGAGAATAGAGTTTTGTGGAACCATGTCTGATCAAATCAACGCCAATCCTAATATTCTGCTAAATATCTATTTTAGCAATGAATCTTCATTTTTTCTAAACGGCAATGTTAATAAACAAAATTGTCATTACTAGAGTGACGAACACCCGCCTATTATTCAAGAAGGGCACACACAACGTCCGCAAAAAGTTAATGTTTGGTATGGTATTCTTAGAAATGCAATTATTGGTCCTTTATTTATTGGAGGAGGCGATCTGTACCTAAATATGCTTAAAGAGACTATTGGTGTTCTTAAAACTCACGAGCTGGAAACTTAAACTAATGCAGAAGGTTATTATGTTTTACAGGAGAATCTGTTTGTGGTGCTCGCGTCCTGTTTGACGAGCCCACAAAGAACTTAACAGATTTGTTTATGACATTTTAGTTGTTTTTTCATGTTTGACGTTTTATGTCATTATTTTTACTTTTTGGTTATATGCAATGTTTTGGAGTGACAACCATCTGGTCTCTTCTTTTTTAATAACGTCACCGTTGTTAATTAAGATATGTGTTTTCTTTTGTAAACCTTTACAGGATTTTCTGGATGAAAAGAAGACTCAAGTAGGCGGATTTGGAACGCAGTATAAAAGGACCGCCGTTGCTATGCTGCAGAGAGATCTTTATAAACATTTCATCGATCGGATTAATTTTTATATATTTCGAAAGTGTCTATTCTTTTTATATATATGTATTAAATAAAATTTTTTAAAAAATTATTTTTTTTTAGTTTTAAATTTAGTGGACCAACCAACGGGACCACTAAACTGTTACATTTCCAGCAGGACGGTACTACACCTTATTTTTTTCTTCCCGTCCGACAGTGGTTAAACGAGAAATTCCCAGACAGTTGGATTAGCAGAAGGGGAGCAACTGAATGGCCCCCAAAATTACCAGATTTAACTCCCTTAGATTTTTTTTTAGGAACACCGTAGATCCGTTGCTTATGAAACGCAACTTCCTGATATTGATGATCTTAAAAGACGAATTACAGTAGCATGCCGGTCATTTCCCGATTTTCCGAAATGTTAGAGAGGAGTTAGGAAACAGACTTTATTATTGTTTACAGTACAATGGACAATATTTTAAACAGTTTTTAAAGTAGTGTACAAGTAGATCGTATTTGTTTTATTTTTAAAATTTCTTGTGCAAATTAAAAATTTTTTGTAAAAGTAACCTAACCAAAAAATTAAAAAAATCAAACGTGTTGATTTAATAATTCTCCTGATATTCAACTTTTATTTAAATACTAACTGAAAACCAAGAATCTCAGTGCAGGCGCGTTCCAACTTCTCTAACTTTGAAATGCAATTTTTCAAAACTGGCTGGTCAGAAGATAATAAATTAGGGTACCACTGCAAAGAGAATTAAACGCCCTTTAAAATTATGTGCCACTTGACTCATTTTCTTATTTAAAATTTTAGGGTAACATCTACATCTCCTAGGATATTGAGCCACAAGTGTCCTCCTTGAAAATAAAATTGTCGGGTTTCTTCGATTTTTTATAATATTTAGGAAGGAAGATATTCAGGGTGGGAAGTTTTCGGTATGTCATCCTGTACCTGACAACAAATTTGGATTTAGAAACAAGCATTCCACTATTGATCAAGTCCACAAAATAACGAATGAAATAGAGAGAACACTGGAAGAAGAAAAGATAAGATAAGGTATGATTAGAGGGCCTTGAATATAAAATAAATAAACTTTTACTCAAGCAATATTTTTAAAACTTAAAATCCTACTTGACTGAAATACTCTCCCGAATAAAGCAAGAAGGATATATCACGCTTTGAAAAATCAATGCAGGGGTACCTCACGGAAGTGTTCTGGGGCCAGTTCTGTACCTGTTGTTTACCTTTGACATACCACAATCAAAAATATGAAAGTAGCCACATTTGTTGACGAGACAGCCATACTAGCCATCAGTAAAACCATAGAGAAAACTTCAATAGGCAATTAATAAAATCTACTAGTGGACAAAAAGATGGAGAATTAAGTTCAACGAAATTAAAACAGTTTAAACTTCACTAATTAAAGATAAGTAGATACTTACCTCTGATAATAAATAATACTAAAATTCCACATTTTTATTCGGTCAAATACTGCATCAACCTAGATAAAAAATTAAAGTAGAAAGAACACAAAAAGAAAAAACCTGAGGAGTTAGGCAGTAAATAGAGAAAATTATACTGGTTTATGACTAGAAAATCAAAACTTTTAATACATAAACAAGTACTGAAGCTTGTATGGACTTAGGTATGGCATACAGCTCTGTGTGTGCCCCTTGGTATGTAAGAAATTTAGACCCTCGCAGAGATTTGAGAATACTTACAGTCGAAGAAGAGAGCAAAACCATACGAAAAAAAAACATGAAAAAAGACTCCATGAACACGTCAATATTGAAGTTTTACAGTTCCTGAACAACCAGTACCCAATGAAAAGGCACACAGGAATTGAACTATTTCAATTAGTGATGTGGAATTATGTAAAAGTAGAGCACAGTACGCGTGTGCAGTGTATAGTTTATAGTTTATCAGAACAGAAAGGAGAAGATACCATTGAGTGAACTCTTAGTTTTAAACTTCATAAGTTTACTTAACTTTAAAATAAAGACAAACTGCTGTGGTTGGCTGTAGAAAATTTATTCCATTGTTTTATATCAATAACATTTATTACTATTTTTGTGAATAAATTATATTATTCTATTTATAAAAATTATACTATAAACAATTTGTTTTAGAAATAAATAGCTTCCTATACAAAAAATACAAATTTTAACGGAAAACCTAGATTACCCAATAGTAAATATCTATTGTCAAACAGTGTTGTTGATTGCTCTTATCAAATTTTTCCTCGCAAATAATACTCAATTATATAAATAATACACATTTAATGAAAATTTTTTAGAACAGAAGCTGCCAAGTTCAGCGGTATTTCCGGTGCTTGGAAACACTTTTATTGGCATAACAGAAACACAACGTAGAATATCTAACATTTTTATGAGCATAATTGAAATGCAAATTAAGGTGCCATTTGCATAAAACCTAACATTTAGGTTTGATAAAAATATGTTTTTTTACGAATAAATATTACGGCTTCGTTTAATTGTAAACATAACGTTCTTTATAAGGTAATGGCGTTTTATGACTACCATATTCCAGCGCTCTTTGTATTTCCTTAAATATACCATAGTGAACATTATTCCGCAAACGTTTTAGCCTTTGAAAGTTTATTTCAAAAAGAATCAACTCGTATTATTTGTTTCAGAAAAGCGTCCGATACTCCTGTCTTGTGCAAGGTCAAAAAGTCTCATCGGAGAAGGTTGTGTCTGTTTATGTAGTGGACAGGAAAGGCGTATACACGTGTCCCAAGGAGCTTTTCCAAGAAATGCTCTGGCCCGAAACAGCCCCTGACACGAACAGCATTCTCAACTGCCCCAAAGCGTACACGGGCCATGCGACGAGATATTGTGCACTTAAAGACGGACGCAGGCCCGCTTGGGGCCAGCCCAGCTTCTCTCAGTGCACTTACGATCATCTTAGGACTATTTATGAGACGGTAAGTGAAGTTCTTTAGGGTTGATTAATTGTTAACAGTTTTATCAAAAGAAGTCTCCGAGATTCCACGTAGAAAAAAATATGGAAGTTTATTTTATTATTTGTAGATAGAATCAGACTGACCTTCGATATAGTTCTATAACTTGCTTTATACAGGGTGTTTTTGAAATATATGTAGATATAATTATAATGCAGATGGATGAAAGAGCAAGCCATATTCTTGGTTTTCAAAAAATAAGCTTATTATAAATAGAGAGACGGCAAATTTAGGTAATACTTTTAAAAAATATGGTCATGAATTGCTGAGAGAAAAAAGTGAGTTGGTGAAATAAAATCAAAAAACAGAAGATCGAATTTTTTCAAAATTTCCAGAATCAATAGTAAGATTGGTAAATTTTTCGAAAGTACAAAAATTCGAACGACAAAAGTTTTAAATTACAAGAGTTCTTCTGTTCCTATTTTGTTGTCGTCATGATCGTTAATATTTTCTTTTATTATTATTACGGTTTATGGAAGTTAATTAAGGAACATCTGATGCAGATAAACTTGAATCAATCGGTAATGATTTAATAAGATAAAATTATTTATATTTATTAACAAGAATTAATAAATTGTATGACTGATTGACATATAAAAACAATTTAATTTTTTTTTAATTACCAATTTTTTCAATGGCTTTATGGTTATTGATATCGTTTTGCATTCAAATAAAAAACAGATTTAGCCAATATTTTTGATGGTTAATTTAAATAATTGTGATCATAAAAATTATTTGCATTCGATTGAAAATATTTATTAAAAACAGTAATATTTTTATTTCAATAAAAGATAAAATTTACAATAAAAAACCCTGTTAATAACCATAAAGCACTGCCCGTCGCGTAAAAATATCTGCAAAATATTTAAATCATAACTTAATAACAGGCGTAAAAAGGGCATAAAATGAAGTTTATCGTATCCATGAAATTTTATTGTGATATATAGTTAGTAGCCGCAGAGGGGATCATAAATTTTATATTTACAAAACGTGTGAAATTATAATACACCGATTTGGTATTAATCAATTTGTCAGTTTAAACAAGATTTTTATATTAATGTGGTGATTATCTGATTTAATGTATGATTACGAGGTTTTATATAGAGTATTATTATCCTACCGTAACAAGAATGTTTTATTAAACGTGTAAAAAATATAATTTTTATAAACGTTATAAAATAGAATGGCAGAAATAATATCTATGTTATAAACCTAAGTACGTTTTTGTAGATACCTAGTTTGAATGTTGTATTCAAGATGAGAGTTTGATGTAATTTTATATACTGTCAGTTTGTTTTTATAAAAAATTTAATATTTGCTCCATATTCCTCGCGTTAGGTGCATCCTACTAACAGGTTATGCACTCAGCTCCCGTTTAAGCTCATAATTAACAGTTAAGAATTCAAAAAAACCTGTTCGAGATGAATGCAAGTATCGCAGGAATAAGAACCTTATTGTGCAAAATATTGGGAATACTCCAACATTTGTAACAAGGGCAAGAAGTGAGGTATTAGACATCACATTAGGCACACCGAGCATTAAAGATCTAGTTAAAAACTGGAGGGTATCGAGTGAACCATCTCTATCTGATCACAAGATAATTGTGTTTACGTTAGAGAGCGACATTCCTAAGACGATCCTCAGGAGGAATCCTAGAAAAACAGACTGGGACAAATACAACACCATTTTAAAATAAAATTTAGCACGTATCCAGACAAAAAAGGAGCCGGGGCATCCACTTGCTCTGGAAAGCGATCTCGAAGAACTAAATGGGGCAATACTTGAGGCATATGAATCAAGCTGCCCCATTCAAAGAAATAGGACTAGTAGGGATGCTCCTTGGTGAAACCGTCATCTGTCAAACTTACGATCCGAAGTGCGGAAGCTCTATAATAGGACCAAGCACAGCGGAGATTGGCAGAGCTACACCGAGGCGCTTACTACCTACAACAAAGAAATCAGGAAAGCTAAACGTAACAGCTTTAGAAAATTCTGCGAGGATATTAACTCTACACCTGAGGCAGCGAGACTGCGCAGGGTCCTGGCAAAAGGGAGAGTTGATACAGTTATGGCATTAAAGAAACCAAATAGAAGCTTCACGGAGAGTGAGGAGGAAAGAGCTCGCCTCTTACTCGAAACTCACTTTCCTGGAAGCACACCTTTTCTAATAAGGGACACAACTAAGGTAAGCAGACCCCCAAGAGAGGCCGCTGTAGTGGCCAAGCATATATGCAGCAGAAATCGGTTAAGGTGGGCCGTAAACACTTTTAAACCGTTTAAGTCTCCAGGTGTGGATGGAATATTTCCTGCCCTGCTTCAGCAGGCACAGGAGGAATTACTGCCACACATAATCCGGCTATCCCGGAGCCGTCTGGAGCTGGGATATATACCAGAAGCATGGAGAAGGGCCAGAGTCACCTTTATTCCAAAAGTAGGGAAAAAGGATACCACACATCCTAAATCTTTCCGTCTAATCAGCCTCACATCCTTTGTATTAAAAACAATGGAGAAGGCTGTTAATAACTATATCAGAACAGAAGTCCTGGAGAGGGTGCCACTCCACCACAGCCAACACGCGTACCGAGCAGGAAGATCTACAGAAACTGCCCTGGTACAGTTGACTGATGTAATCCAGGATGCACTGACAAACAAAGAAACGGTCGTGTGTGCCTTTCTAGACATAGAAGGAGCTTTTGACAACACGCCACACGAATCTGTAAAAAGAGCACTTGCATACAGAGGAGTAGATAACATCACATCCAGATGGATGGCTCAGCTGTTATCTTCGAGAACTGCAGAGACACAGATAGGGCAGGACACCATCTCCATCTGCACAACCAGAGGATGTCCACAAGGAGGAGTTCTATCCCCACTAATGTGGAGCCTAATCGTAGACGAACTTCTATGCAGATTGACTGACCTCGGCATACCCTGTCAAGGTTATGCCGACGACATAGTCATATTTGCTAGTGGCAAGTTTAGTAATATCCTGTGTGATATAGTCCAAAGAGGACTAGAACATACCAAAAGATGGTGCCGTGAAGTGGGACTTAGTATAAACCCTACAAAAACAACACTAGTAGCCTTTTCAAGGAAAAGAAAACTTAATCTCAAAACCGTTAAATTAGACGGGATAGATATAGAATGGAAAAATGAAGTCAAATATCTAGGCCTAACCCTGGACAACAAACTTCTCTGGAACACACATGAGAAGGAGGTAGTAAATAAAGCCACAAAAGCCCTAATGGTATGCAGAAACATGGCGGGTAAACGATACGGATGTAACCCAAACATACTGCGATGGATGTATACTGCAATAGTGAGACCAATCATCACTTACGGGGCTATAGCCTGGAGTAACAGAACTAGTTTAGTTACTACGAGAGCTAATATCTCAAAAGTACAAAGACTAGCCTGTGTTTGCATTACTGGTGCAATGAGAACCTGTCCTACGGCCGCAATGGAGGTGATCTTAAACCTCACCCCTCTACATTTGATGATAGAGAATGTGGCAAAAAGGACACGATATAGAATGATCAGGAGCGGAGTAATCAGACGAAAGTCTACTTGCTTTAGGACTAAAGATACCTGGGACATGCCCCAGGATGAAATGCAAAAGAAGTACAGTTTTGTGAAAAACTTCAAAACCACAGAGCTGGGCTGCAAGAAAGAATGGAGCCAAGAATCCATCGCGCTTGCAACCGAAAGACGTGCTATTCAGTGGTACACGGACGGTTCCAAAACCATAGAAGGAACAGGAATAGGAGTGTATGGGCCGAGAACCAAGCACTCCGAAAGCTTGGGAAAATACCCAAGCATCTTCCAGGCGGAAATTCACGCCATCGAGAAGTGTATCCAGTTTAACATCGAGAGAAACTATCATAGACAAGAGATTATCATTATGTCCGATAGTCAAGCAGCCATCAAAGCGCTGAGTTCTTACGTAATCAGCTCAAAAATGGTATGGAGATGCCTAGAGCAATTGAATGAGCTAGGCGAGAAAAATAGAGTTACTCTCACTTGGGTCCCGGGACATAACGGGGTACAGGGTACAGGGTAACGAGATTGCAGATAGTCTTGCAAGGAAAGGGGCTCAAACACCCTTTGTAGGACCTGAGCCGTTCTGCGGTATCAGCAGTAACATAATATTAGAAGAGATTAAAAAAGAATTGGGTAGTATAAGAACCGATAATTGGAATAATCTCTTGGGGCTGAGACAGGCCAAGATACTTCTGGGTGAATATAACCAAAAAGATCGGAAGCCTGCATCTGCCTGAGCAAGAACAGGCTACGTATTGTAACAGGGATCCTTACCGGGCACTGCCGACTAAAAGGACACCTAAGTAAACTGAGAGTAGTAGAGGATAGTGAGTGCAGATTCTGTGAGGAGGAGGAGGACGAAACCTTCATTCACATCCTAACTGAATGTGTAGCACTCCAGAATCCAAGGGCACTATATCTAGGAGGATATCAAATAGAAGAGGGAGACTTACCTAACTTGAAGCCACTTCAAATCCTACACTTCCTTGAGAAAATAGGATTGGAAGGGTCGCTATAGGCATTGAGACATTTCCTTAGTGCAGTGGCGACAGAAGGGGGCACAATAGATCTTTTAGGTCGCAGTGTATTAACACCCCATTATCAACATAACATCGCAGGAAGATTTAAAGTTCTCAGTAGAAAAAACAACGATATTTTGAAAATGCACTTGAAGGCATTATTGCATTAAGAATGATGCGTGGATCTACGTGAATTGTGAATCTAAGAAACCTGAGTTAGGTAAAAATATTGCGACCGAAGAAATTATCAAGAACTGGCTCAAGAATGACAGTAAAGCTAAATCAGATATTATACTTTAAATTGGCCCTTCTGAGCTAAAGGCAGGTCAAAGGATGTGATACATCAAGGGACGTGTGGTTATAGCTAGAAAGCATATACCAATTGAAGGGACCCGCTAAAAAAGC